AAACTCTGTAGACAGAAAGATCAAAGACAGATGTCTGCACTGCACTAAATCCACTTTACAACAAAACCTTGGGTAGGGCACAGGACTTAGCGACTCAGTGTTTTCTGTGTTGGGAAGCCCCGAGAGAGGCTCAGCGTCTATGCCCCTCACCAGAACAGAATGTGGGCACACACACGGGCGAGGAGAGGAAAGGGATGGGGCAGGTGGTCCTCTGCTCCATGACCTTCTGGCTGCCCTTGCCCAAGGCGGAAGTAAATATAAAATAAATCTCACCACTTTCACTGTAGTCCCTGTAAAGAGAGCTAGCTGTAGAAAAATGATAAATACGGAACAGCACATTCGGTCGCTTGGTTTTCAAGTTTCAATTTTCTCCACTGGCTATATGGAGAGCAATCGGAACAGAAGCAGAGATGGGGCTTTCTCATTTGCTGAACTTAAAGCCTAACTGAACCTACTTCCAAAATGAATTTCCTGTTCATACAGCCATAAGTCTATAGAAATGTAAATCAGACAATGTTTTGATAATCAGCTAATCAGGACTTAATTTACTACTGGAATAAATGCACTTCACGATCCCTTTTATATTTCCTCACTAATACATTTTAACTGTGTAGAAATACAGTACTTCATAGGATTAACATGTCTATTAATAGAGGTTTAATCACTGAAGAAGGGCATTATGCCCACAGAATATGCATCTTTGGGGTTTTTCTGTTTTTTAAATGGCTAGATGGCTGAATGGCATGCCCTTTACAGGCACAGCAAATTTTTCTGACTAGCAGCTGCTCAGCTCAACTTATTCTTTTAAAGGGAAATATATTCAACAAAACATGTAGATACTGGAAAGTTTTAAGGAAAATCTGATGGACACCAATTTTAATGTGTCCATTTAGACTCAAAATGAGACCACTGCGAACAGTCAACAGCAGGGGGATGAGACAAATGTATATTAAACACTTTGTTGTAATGCTTTCCAATTTCCAAAGATCATAAACAAAAGCAGCCTGTTGGGAACATCGCTCCTGGTGTTTCTCTGTCCAAACACAAAAGCACTTTCTGCACAGGTTCCTTGCAGCCAGCCCCTGCCACCACTCCTCAGAGCTCGCGTCCACAGACACCTCACATTTCCTTGCACTCTCTGGCTGGCTGTGCTGCAGGGTTTGGGAACAGCGGGAACACTTCAGCTGCCTTCCTGGCAGGGCTAGGGTTCATAATTACAAATTTTGATTCCTTGGGAACCAGCAGTTAGTGTAATGGCTATGTTGCTGGATTCCCACGTAGTCGATTGGGTAGGGCACAGGACTTAGCGACTCAGTGTTTTCTGTGTTGGGAAGCCCCGAGAGAGGCTCAGCGTCTATGCCCCTCACCAGAACAGAATGTGGGCACACACACGGGCGAGGAGAGGAAAGGGATGGGGCAGGTGGTCCTCTGCTCCATGACCTTCTGGCTGCCCTTGCCCAAGGCGGAAGTAAATATAAAATAAATCTCACCACTTTCACTGTAGTCCCTGTAAAGAGAGCTAGCTGTAGAAAAATGATAAATACGGAACAGCACATTCGGTCGCTTGGTTTTCAAGTTTCAATTTTCTCCACTGGCTATATGGAGAGCAATCGGAACAGAAGCAGAGATGGGGCTTTCTCATTTGCTGAACTTAAAGCCTAACTGAACCTACTTCCAAAATGAATTTCCTGTTCATACAGCCATAAGTCTATAGAAATGTAAATCAGACAATGTTTTGATAATCAGCTAATCAGGACTTAATTTACTACTGGAATAAATGCACTTCACGATCCCTTTTATATTTCCTCACTAATACATTTTAACTGTGTAGAAATACAGTACTTCATAGGATTAACATGTCTATTAATAGAGGTTTAATCACTGAAGAAGGGCATTATGCCCACAGAATATGCATCTTTGGGGTTTTTCTGTTTTTTAAATGGCTAGATGGCTGAATGGCATGCCCTTTACAGGCACAGCAAATTTTTCTGACTAGCAGCTGCTCAGCTCAACTTATTCTTTTAAAGGGAAATATATTCAACAAAACATGTAGATACTGGAAAGTTTTAAGGAAAATCTGATGGACACCAATTTTAATGTGTCCATTTAGACTCAAAATGAGACCACTGCGAACAGTCAACAGCAGGGGGATGAGACAAATGTATATTAAACACTTTGTTGTAATGCTTTCCAATTTCCAAAGATCATAAACAAAAGCAGCCTGTTGGGAACATCGCTCCTGGTGTTTCTCTGTCCAAACACAAAAGCACTTTCTGCACAGGTTCCTTGCAGCCAGCCCCTGCCACCACTCCTCAGAGCTCGCGTCCACAGACACCTCACATTTCCTTGCACTCTCTGGCTGGCTGTGCTGCAGGGTTTGGGAACAGCGGGAACACTTCAGCTGCCTTCCTGGCAGGGCTAGGGTTCATAATTACAAATTTTGATTCCTTGGGAACCAGCAGTTAGTGTAATGGCTATGTTGCTGGATTCCCACGTAGTCGACCGCGGTTCGCGTCCCGGACCCGGTGGTGGCTTAAACTCATGCTGGGCGCCTGTGTGTGCGTGCCCAAGATCCCGAGAGGAGAATGGAGGAGAAGGGACTGCAGCGTGACCATACCCCCTGGGGGGTGATTTCTCGCTTTCTGTCTCTCTTTCTCTGTCTGCCTGGCGAGCACACGCCCTATAGCAAAAACCTCTCAAAAAAAATTTTTTTTTTGCTTCCTTTAAAGGGACAAGGCTGCAGACTGAGGACAGAAGCAATCAGTCTCTTTTGCTACTCTAACTACCAAAAGTACCTCCATTTGCTTCAGATTCATTTGCTGCCACACCCTTTGCTAAGACGGCTACCAGCAACATCACCATGCCACTCAGCTTGCTCTATTAGCAAAGTGGTCATTTTTACCAAAAGCCACTTCAACAATCATCTGTCCCTTCTTAGTCACAAGTCTCATCACTTCAGAAATAAACATACGAGAGAGGGCTTTAGAAAGGTCCATGGAGGGATGGAATTAAATACAAGGTTGTTTTGGTACAAAACAAAAAATGAATTCCATGCATAGTTTTTTTTCACAATACACATTTTCCAGGAACTGTTTGAAGATCTTGGCAATTCTAAATGACAGACTTATCTAGAGTAATGGGCAAACGGAACAAAAACAAATTCTTGCCATTACATGTTAAGATCTGGCTCTTCCTGTGCTGCTCAGTACAGTCATGCAGTTCTCCTTCTATTTTCCTAAGTGTCATCCACAGAGACATTCGCAGTTATGTGCCACTGAGAACCTTGGCTGAAGTTCCTCTCGGACTCCTCCTGCCTACCACCTATAGGGCCCTTCCATTCACAGCAGTAGGAAGGCCATACCGGGCCAGAACTCAGCAAAGCTCCCTTCCACACTCTCTCAATTAACTCCATGTCCCACGAGGAGGGCCACCATGGATGGTTGAGTGCTCTGGAGACTCGACTGTGATGAGCAATGGGTGACATAGGCAAGGTTTCCTAGACTGCCTGAGGGGAACCCTGGAGCCTCCTAGCTCATCAGACTAATTTCTACTCCTGAGGGGCAGCCTGTAGGAACAAAGGGATCTGTGACTTTTCCACGTGGCCATTTCGTTGTATATCTCATGGTTTCTATAAAAGAGCTTCAGATAAAAAGAGAGGAAAGACCAGCAAGAGCAAATACACAGTTTGTGACCCAGGCTGAAACTAACTTCTCAATGGTCCAGATGTCCTAAGACTTTACTTAACAGTGGCCAAACATTTATTTCAAAGGTCAACTATGTGCCACTTTAAAAACAACTGGGAGACAGCTTCGTAAGATATTTGCTAAAACCCACTAGGAAAAATACTTTTTAAGTTATCGAGCAGGTGATTACAATAACACATCAAGACCTTCCAAATAATTATGAGAAATATGTATTGAAGCTCAATAGAAAGAAGTATATTGTTTTACACCAATTTTCATTATCTGTGCAACGTAACATTTGAATTTTTTAAAAAACTTATTTATTTTAAAAGCCAGAGAGGCAGACAGATGGGTACCCTGGCCACACAGTGACCTTTCCTCAACCCCCCCACAGCCTCCCAGCCAACCAGGATGCTGGGTACACCTGTTATATATTTGGGTTGACCCAGGATCTGAACCCAGGTCTCCCATGTGGCTCCAGTATATCTAAAATATTTCTTAAAATGTAAATTTCAAGAGAGCAACAGAGATAGTGGAAAATGGTTAGAAAATTCACCAAAACCTTACAACTCACATGTCCTCAACTGTAATGTCCTTGAGGATCTGGCAGTAGTCCACATTCCAGACAGCCTGATCGTCCCAAACCTTGGAGGCAAGAAGAATGGCTCCCAATACAATTCTTTTCCAGTTAGTGGGACAAATGTCGATCTCAGCATAAGTTAAAAGCCTTTCTAAGTAAACCTGCAAAAGTAGAGCACTGGTCTTTGATTTTAGTTCAGTTTAAGTGTCATGATTAAGAACAGATTTTGTTTCTGACCAGAGAGTAAGTGCCCTTTCTTCTTATGTTCTACAGAGACTCTGCTCAGGTAGCCAGAGCGAGAAGCCAGATCACAGTTGTAAGGCAGACACATCTACTGCCTGCTCTGCCCATGCAAATTTCCAGCCCAACTTTGGTCACAGGAATGACTGGACATGTCAGCAAGCATATCACGAAGAGAGGCATTGCTGTCCCCTTTCCACTCTTCAGGGCAGTTCAGACTAAAGTGTTCTGTAACACCTGAGTGTCTCCCACACACAATGGGCCACACCTCGCTGGTACTTATATACTGATTTTACAGGTATGCCATGCTTGAATGTGTGAAACTCCAGTAACAGTGAGCACGTCTTTATCTTCTCTTCACAGTAGCCAATCCTGAGGCACTAGCGTGGCAGTAAGAACTGGTGGTCAAGAGCGCCTCCCAGTGGCCGCTGTGCAGAGCAGCATGACAGGTGAGGGGATCCAGGGCTGTATGGGAGTCTCTGTAAAAGGACAGTCTGCTCTTAAGCCTGCTGGCCCACACACCTCCACTTATCACTGTGCCAAATCATCTTCTGGCTCACATAATCTGTAACGTGGTCAATTCTGTTGGTTTTAAGGCCAGCCTCTGTATTCCCAGGATTCCTCTAAACCTGCCAGGCAGCTTGTGAGACAATCTCATGAGTTACTTTACACATATTAAACGTTCACAGTGAGGACAGATGACAGAGGTAAGCTGTGACTTGCTGTTTACCTGGAAGGGCACTCTGTGGAAAAGTGTATATGCTATTTAACTCTTTGTATCAAGGTAAAAAGAAAAATATCCACGAATAACTATTTATTGTCTGAAAGTTACCAGATTGAGAGCTTGGATTTGGCAATGTTTCCTCCACTCAGCTGTGTTTTCAAAAACAAATGGCTACAAAAAGCACATGTGCTTATGGAGAAGCTGCTATTCCCCAAAGCTTGGGGCTCTCAAGTATCCCAAGAATGCACCTCCTTCATAGGGCCTGGCCCGGCAGGAATAATCAGAGAACACAGGAACAACACTGGCAACCGCTCCCCTGCCAGCCACCCGCCCTGGCAAGCCATGATGCGCCCACACACTAGCCTGCCCGCCCACCCACAGCAGTGGAGGCAGAGCGCTTTCTTCCCGCCGAAGCGAACCCTTTTCCAGCATGGCTGATCCCATCCCGTTCTGCACACTGTTCCCACAATTATCTCTTTTTAAGACTTTGCCCCTCTGCCGGAGATTTTCCGAGATATGGATGTTCCTTTATCCATCCTGTTCCCCACAATGCTGCTTCCTCTCACTTGCCCAGAGCATCGTGCCCCGCTGCCTCCCATCCTCCATTCTCTTCAGCCCACTTCCATCTTCTCCTGCTGCTAGGACACTACTGAAACTGCTCTTGCCAATGTCATTGGTGTCTTCAACCCAACGCTCCACTCCCTAAGTCCCCCCCTACATTGTAAAGGGCATACGCCTACTTGCTGGGCCCCAAACTCACCTGGGAGTTACCACACTCCAATCTGTTAGCAATTCCTGTTATTGCCACCTTCACTGGCAACCTCCTTGCTTTCTATTCTGAGTCAGTTTGTCACTACTTACCTGCACCACGATGCTTCCCCCTAACTCTCCTCTCCCTCCACTGTGCCTCCAACTAACTCCGTCTACATCCCCAAAGCGGACAGGATAATCTCTTACCTTTACAGTACTCCATTCCCCTGTGCAAGATCTACCAAAAGTTACCAGCAACTAGAATAAAATATACCATCTTCCTGTGGCCACAAGCTACAAGGCCCTGGGAGATGGGGTGCTGGACATGTGACCTCATCTCCTACGCTCTTGCTCTCACCCTTCATCCCAACCATCCTGGCCACTTTGCTGTCCCTGGACACACAAAACTGCTCCCAGCCCAGTCCTGGCACT